TCCAGCACCATTTATTAAAGAGGCTTTCTTGCCTCCAGTGAGGGTATTTGGCTTTTTTATCAAAGATGAGGTAGCTGAGTATGTCTGGAGTTGTTTCTGCATCTTCTAATCTCTTCCACTGATCCTCAGGTCTGTTTCTTTGCTAGTACCATGCTGGTTTTTATCACAGTGGCTTTGTAGTATAGTTTCACAGTGGGGATTGTGATACCCCCATCATGTTTTTCTTGTCTAGAAGTGCTTTTGCTATTCTAGGTGTCTTCTTGTTCCAAATGAATTTTTATATTGTTTTCTCAAGTTCTGTGAAATATGCTGGTGGAATTTCAATTGGAATTGCATTGAATGTATATCTCAATTTTTGAAGTATGGTGATTTTCACTATGTTGGTTCTTCCTACACAGGAGCAAGAGATGTCTTTCTATTTTTTTATTATCTTCCTTGATCTCTTTCTTCAGAATGCTATTGTTTTAGAGAATAGGTCTTTTATTTCTTTCGTTAAATGGATTTGTAAGTTTTTTTTTTTTTTTTGGATGCTACTGTGAAAGGAGTTGTTTCTGTAGTTCCTCTCAGTGGTTTGTTTTTCTTGTACAGGAAGGATATTGATTTTTCTGTGTTGATCTTGTATCCAGCTAGTGTACTGAATTTGGTTAATAAGTCTAGAAGATTTTTGGTGAAGTTCTCGGGATCTTCTATATAGAGTATCATGTCATCTGCAAATAATGACAATTTAACTTCTTCATTTCCCATCCTTATTCTTTTTATTTCTTTCTCTTGTCTAATTGCTGTGGCTGATATTTCCAAAACTATATTGAACAGGAGTGGTGATAGTGGGTATCCTTGTCTTGTTCATTATTTTAGCATGAAGGATTTCAATTTTTGACCATTTAGGATAATATTGGCTGTTGGTTTTTCATAGATGGCTTTTATCAGATTGAGGTAGAGACCATCCATTTCAATTTTCTGCAATATTTTTATCGTGAATGTGCATTTCATTTTGTCAGTCACTTTTTCTGCATCTATTGAGATGATCATATGATTTTTGTCCTTGGCTCTATTAATGTAGTATATTACATTTATCAATTTGTGTATGTTGAACCATCCCTGCATCCCTGGGATGACTCCCACTTGGTCAGCATTTATGATTTTCTTGGTGATCTTCTGCATTCTGTTGGCCAGTCCTGTTGAGGATTTTTGCATCTATGTTCATTAGTGAGATTGGCCTATAGTTCTCTTTTTCGGCTGGGTCTTTCTCTGCTTTGGGGTCAAGGTGATGCTTACTCCCAGGAAAGAATTTGGAAGTATTGCTTCCTTTTCAATTTCATTGAAGAGTTGAAACAGTAGTAGCAGTAGTTCCTCTCTAAATGTCTTATATCAGCAGTGAACCCATCAGGACCTGGAATTTTCTTAGTTGGGAAGTTTTTTATTACATTTTTAATTTCATTGATTGATGTTGGGTTGTTTTGAATGTTTAGGTCATCTTTGTTCAACTTTGGTAATTCATATGTATCTAGGAATCTGTCCATTTCTTCTGTGTTTTCCATCTTATTGGCGTATAGGTTCTGGAAGTAGGTA